GAAAATCTTATTTTATGTTAGTAAATGTGTCAAGCTTATGAATTCATGCCTCCTTTCTGTGTATATGAGAAAAAAAAACCTTTGTCAAAAATCTTCTTCTATTTTCTCTACTTTCTGTAACTTTAAAATCATTTAAAATGAAAGGAATAAAATGTGATTTGTATTCTAGTCTCAAAATTTCTAAATTTATTTTTTTAATATAAATCTAAAATAGTATCTAAAAAAAAAAATCCAATATAAAATATCTGCGCCCATTTTTTTCAAACTGCGTTACTGTTAAGATACGAAACTTTTTATTTTTAGCATGAACGATTTTTTTTTTTGTCATACTTAGTTAAACACAACTTTGGTTTTCAAATTGTGAAGTCTCTGAGTCTTAATTAAATTTAAAATTAAAGTTGAGAAGAATTTCGTGAGAATTTTTTTTTTTGAATTTGCCCCAAAATTTCTCCGACTACACTTGGAAAGTAGTCACTGTTTCAATTTAAAAGTTTTTCTATGCAAAATTTTCTTGTAGTTCAATTTATGGCTGAAATAATTTTCTATTAAAAGAAAATAATTGTTCCAACACGTTTATAGAGTAACAGAGTTGGTGACTGCAAAATATTTGACCTTTATTACATTCGGGTGAATGGGTGGAAAAAAAATTCATAAAAATTCGATTGGGGCTAAAATATTTTCAGAACATTTTAAAGTTAGCTAGAAAATTTTTATTATTTTTTTTTTACCTATATTTTTTTTCCAATTCTCGTTGTTTTCCTGACTCTTACAGTTACATTAGAACTAGATTTTTTTTTTATATAAAATTTAAAAAATTTCATTGAAATTTCTTTCGAAAATTTTTTATTTATTCACATGACTTGAAAACTTACAATTCAATTAGGAAAAAAAACTTGAATTCTATTTGTAATTGAGGTTACAAAAACAAAAAAAAAATCTGATGTGGTCAGTACATAACCGACCGCAATATATATTGGCTAGTCTAGCGAAAGTGTTTATGAAAATGCCTTTTAAATGCTACTTTCCAATTTTAAGATAGTTAGTAAGTTTTAGTTAACATTTCTCTAAAAATGTAAATTTCGCTCTTAATGGAGTTTCACTTTGCGCCATCCGGATTCCCTGTTCACCAGAATAGAACACTAAGAACCAGAATTTAAGTTTCAAGGAATTTCATCAATTAATTCCGTAGATATGAGCTAAAATGTAAAATCGCGCCGGAAAAAGGTTCAGTTCTCGATGCCGCACATATCCCAAAAGTTGATCAATCCGTGACATAGCCGAAATAAATTCACATATAAAACTTCATCGAAATTGGTTTAGCCGACCCTTAGATACACTCGTGTACATACAAATAGATACACAGACCAGCCGACTGACATTTCTCTAAAAATAGTTTATTTACCTTTTCCTATCATAAAGAAGTGCATTTCTACGAAAAACTAAACATCCGAAATTTGGTGTCTTCACAAAACCTCTCTTATTTTATGCAATGCAGTCGGTAAAAAATTAAAAAAAAAGCACAAGATTTTCACAAGAATAAATTCTTTACAAAAAATTTAAAGGAAGTACAAAAAGATGACAAAACAAATAAATCAAACGAAATCATATAGTATAAGTATACGATGAAATAAAAAGTGTAAACTGTGAAATCTCTAACATTGGCTTTTAACAAAAAAAATAAAAATTAAACAGAAGAAAAAACGGAAGGACAAAAGCGTCATAAAAACGTGCCAAAATATCTTGGTAACAATAAAAGATGAATAAAATAAAGAAGACGGTAAAATAAGTTTAAAGAACTTTAGGATAACTTGAAGGGTACTTATAAGCAGAACGGCTAATTATAAGAACGGAAGCCCTTTGGGTGAATAACGATATTCTGTCTATATGAGTACTTCCATTGTGAAGAATATTTTTAAAATTTTTTTTTTTTTTGTTATTCAAGAAGGCATTCGATGAGTTCCATTCGTAATTAATGTCCGGTTCGCTCAATAGGTGGTGTAAAGTGTATTTATGTTTTCCAAAATGACGTCCGTTTTTTTCATTTGAAAGTTATTTTAAATTTCATCATGCTCACATCAAATATTATCAATTTCTTACTTATTCAGAAATTTTCTAATATAGAGGCAATAAGTGTGTATAGCAAATAGAGTAACAAATTTATAATACACTAAATATGAGAAAATAAATCAAATTCGTGTAAATTGAATGGTGAATGGTTCTTTTCTTTATAAGATTTCACACTTCATACTTTCAAAAGAATGAAAAGAGAAAAAAGGTAAAGAATAAAAAATTTTCTTTTCTGCATTTTAAATTAATTTCTTTAGTGAGAATTTTTTTTTTTTTCATTCAGTAGGACGAAATTGTAGAGAAAATCGCAAAATTTTTTTTCAATAATTTTTCCACTAAGTTTCTTTCAACTTCCTCTTAGTATGTACCAGAGTTTTAACTATAAATAAAAGTATTGAATAAATAATTCCGAAATGTTTTGAATTGAATTGGGAAATTTGTAGATTTCCTTAATTTTATTTTATCAAAATAAAATTAATTTTTATTAAAGGCAAAATTGTTTTTCATTTTCTCGAGTTCAAGTTTACATTTTCAAAATGATGCAATAGCTTTAATCCAAATTTTATAAAAATTCTGAAAAAAATTAAAGCTATTCACAAAAAAAAATCAATATTCACAAAAAATCATAAGAAAGCCAAGATGAGGTGCTAATTCAAAATGTAGAAATTATTCCCTTACTGGTATTTTGAAAAAAAACTGGCCATTCTACAGCAGGAATCCGTCCGTATGCGTTAAAATATTTCAACACAAATGGTATTTATACAAGTACAGCGGAATGTAAAATTTTAACACGGAATGTTACAAAATCCTTTAAAACGTCGTTAAAACAATATGTTCTGGAGGAAATTTTATTGACCCAGGATTACTTAGTCCTTTTTGATATCCAAAACCGGTTTAGCGCTTTTTCCTTATTCCTTATTTTGATTGTGTTAGGACTGATTATTTTTTCGATTCTAGAAAATTTTTAAAATTTTTAAATAGTAAGCGAGTGTCTGATTAAGCGTGAACCAAACCTGAATTTGTTAATCTAAAGCATGATTATCAGTCGTCTCTCCAAATTCATGGTCAGACTTCAAGTGACCCTGTTGTTATATCAAACTTTTTTTGTTTCTCATTTCCCTAGCAGTTTTGCGACTGGTAGGGGGTTTTTCTGTTGATCTTATTTTGAGTTGCTGTTGGGGGAATTTTCGAGTTCTACTATAATTTTTAATCATGTAAACTATTATACTAAATGTTGTTACAAAGTCTGACGTATAGATATAAAATTTTTATAAAATTGTTTTTGAATAATTAAATTTCAAAAGTCATTCGCCGGAAAGTCTGATTTTTTGCGCTTATCCGAAACAAACATTTAACTGCTGACGTTATACTAATTTAATTTTTGTCACTTAACAACATTAAAATTTATTTATTTTTTTTTTGATGTTGTACTCGTATTAGAAACGATCATTAGAGCAGAATATTTTAATGATAAAAAAGGTTATTTTCATTATAATGAAAACATCCTCAATATATGCAATATAATATAATTTCTAAAAATAAAATCAATTTCATAGAATTTTGATAATATAATCAAACCTAGCTAGGAAAATTTATTAAAAATGCGGAAATAGCTACACATGTGTGTAAAGATAAAAAATTAAAAGAATGCGTAATGAATTTCCAAATTATTTAAAATATTGATATTTTAATATAACAATATTATGTATAACAAAATATACGAATATATTGTATAAAAGTACTTTTGTTATACATTAAATAAATTATATAACGTATTTAAGCTTAGTAATCTAATAAAATGTCAAAAATATCACATGTTTTTGTGTTGTTTTTTTACAAGAAATTGTTTTTTAATATTTTTTTTTTCATATTTTGTTCTCTTTATTTTTCACATACATACGTACGTAGTACATTAATGCTCTCTATATTAAGGAAATTTATGCCTAATACAGGCATGTCAATTACAGAGATAAAATGCTGAAAAAGGCATATTATCCTAAAGAAGAAAAAAAGAGAAAAAGAGAAAAAATTTGAATTTCAGTTGCTCTTCTTTTTTTTTTTGATTGTGAATTTCACAATGCCCGGATGTTGACTAGGCATATTTAAATTTATTAAGAAGAGAAAAAACAATTTTGTTTTTTTTTTTGGTTTTTTGAATTTATGCATGTAATTACGCAAGTTAAATTAAAAATATATTTTTTAAAAAGAATTTTATAAAAATTTCTTGATAAATTTTACAAGATTGTGTGGTAATCTTTGTAAAAATATTAAATATACTTGCCTTAAGCGGGTTATGAAGAAACCAATATAAAATTAGTAAATTTACTTATAGAATTTCTAGATGCTTTAGGCAATTTTCAATTTTATTGTGGCAACGCTATCCAGTAGAGATCTGATAATAAGATTTAAAACTGCATATATTCATATTCTAACTCGTTGAATTCTGAGCCGATCAGGATATGTTTGCTTATTGCTTATCTGAACTTCATTTAATATTCTCGAGCTATCTCGAATTATCGTATTTAAGCTAGTTAGAATAATTGCCGTACTAATCGCAAATTTAACTTCTTGCACTGACATTTACTACAAAAGTTGAGATTCTTTAATTATTACAGAAAGGTACGTACCTAAATAAATATACCTACATACATATGATGTATATAATGGAAATATATTCTTTTTTTTTTCATCCAACTTAAGCACATCCACACTTTTCCTCGTACAAGTAAAATATAAATTTTTAAATGGATAAAATTAATAAATTTTGTCTTAATTTCACTTTTAATTTTTTAATTTTTGTAATATTTAAGATTAAAAAGTTTTTCTGAAAAAACCATTAGACCCGAGTTACACGTAAAAAAAATTAGTTTAAATTAAATTTTTAATTTTTATTTTTGTTCTAATATTGAATATAAAAAATTAAAATTACTTACCAATTTTAAATGTTGAAATTTTTGGAGCAGTATAATAAAGAAGAGAACAGCCTGAAAAAAGAAAGAGAAAAAATAATATTGTTACTAAATTAAAGTTGAATAATTATAATGAACGTATGTTCGAAGGGTATTATAAATTTGAAACGCTTGGAATACCGTTCGAAATGCTAAGAAATAATGAACTGATAGGCATAGATGAAGACTGAGGTATAGATAAGTTGGACAGCTGCTGTACAAATTTTAATTCTGAAATTTTGCTTTAACAAATGATGAAATGTGGCCACATTAAAAATTTTGAGATTGTATGAGTTAATGTGAAAAAATTTTGCACGACCTTGGCAAAAAATGAAAAATTTTTTGGAAATTTTTTATAATTTTGCACGACCTTGGCAAAAAATGAAAAATATTTTGGAAATTTATTAAAATTTTGCACGACCCATACATAAACAAATTCTACCATTAAGTTAGATGCCATTGAAACTACCATTGAAATTTTTAAAACATTTCTTCCCAAATTAATTTGCAAAAAAAAAAAATTTTAAGAGTAAAAATACTTGGAATTTACCAGAAATTAAAGAAACTTATTAAATAATTATTTTTATTAATATTTTACGAATTCGATGATGATTTTGGAAATCAGGGAGGTTTTCTGACACCGTTTGCTAGTGCTACTCGTATATCACGGAAAATGGCTTTTATCGTATTTAAAACAATTTCTAAAAAGAAAATGAATGGTTTTCTTTGGTAACTCCATTCGTCATTGCTTTTAAAAGGAACCCCTAAATTACTTTAATTTTCTCATTTCAAAACTCTAGAACTTGATAACAATTTTTTATGAATTTAGAAATTCGGTATCGTATACAGTTTCAATATGAGTGATCGAAAATTTAAATACAAATTATGAACGATTATCGGATCCACCCTGTGATCGGTTCTATGACCCTAATTGCTTTTTCATAAAATAAAATGTAGGCAAACAACATTATTCTGCGTTTTATGAAATAAAGTGTTATTTGAAAAATTCTAAAATCTATCGACTTTACGTTTACAAAAATAAATCATGTACGTTTGACATTGTCACGTATGACACTCAATGAAATTATCTAAATTTTCATATTATATACAATACGCATATCCTTTTACAACAAGAAAATGTTAAGGCTATAATAGACAATTGGAAAACACATTGATAACCTATTTTAATAATTTATTCACGAATAATAATAATAATGGAATACACACAAATATTTTGTAAATTTTCCAATACTCTTCAATAAAAAAATATTTTAGACTCGTACTTCATCTTGAAAAATATTTTCATTTTATGTGCAAAAATAAAACTGCCATAAATCCCAATTTCTTTCATTTTAATATTGGTCTAGATTTACTATAATTTTTATATATCGTATATTGTAGGTTCTATGTACACATGTATTGTTTCCGTTTTTAATCCTTATACAAAATATTTTTATAATCCTTGATCTTGTTACTAGAATAATTTGTTAAAAAATTTTATTAAAAATCTTTTGATTTAATTATCGTATACTTCAATAGTTTAACCAAATTTTCAATAAACTACAAATAATTTTTTTATTTTGCAATAGTGGTTTCAATGATTTCGAATAATATAATTTTTAAGTATTCTTTAAAAATTTAAATATACGGTATATATACTTAATAATATGTAAATATAAATATTTAAAATCGGGAAAACCAAAATAAATTAATTAAAAATTAAAATTATAAAGTGTGTATATGGGTGTTTATGGTTTTCTATATAAAAAAAAATTGAGTATATGAAAATTAATTGTTTGTTAGCCACGAGCAGAATAACTATAAAAATTTTAATATAAATAACCTAAAAATCCCAAAATATTAAAACACCAAAAATTATTTTTCATTTTAATCACACTAAACTAATTTTATATAAATAGTCGATGCAGAAGGCGAAAAAATTTAAATATAAAATTTCAATTTCATTAATTTATAAATGAAATTCAAAACTATTTAAAAATCTGATTGATATCAGAAACGGATAGAGTCGAACGCATTTAATTCTGTTATATTTGTATAAGCGAATGTAATTCTAAGGGTTCAGGCAGACATGTAATTTTTAGTTTTGCAATTACTGCTTGATTGTAAAATTCTTGCTGAACATTTAAACATCTAAGCTACTGCTTTTGGCAACTAAAAATAACTAAAAATTGCAATCAAACTGTTTGATTCTATAATTTCATGCGATCATACAGTTGCAAGTGTGCGTACTTGAATATATTCCTATGGAATATAAATAAGCAATCAAACAGTTGAAAACCTAAAAATTGAATGTCTGCAAACTAATTAACAGAATTTTGTGGAATTTATTATTAGATTTCGGTTTAATAATGAAACTAATTAACAAACATTGAGGCAAAATCTGATTCCCAGAAAGAACCAAAGAACCAAATTTGAATTTTCTACGTTAAGAACCAAATTTGAGTTTTCAAAGTTATTGCATTGCAAGACGATTGTATTCTGAGCACATCAGATTTTTTGGTGTCGTAAAAATGTTATAGAATTATTTATTAAATCACGGCATTTTGTATATATATATAAGTGATTTACATAAAAGCTCTTATTAAAATAAAATATTAAATTAAATATGAAAAAGATCTCAATTAATTTTTTTTATTTCATCTTTTGAAAATTACGATGTGTTATAAATATAAATTTCCATGGAGAAACGCAAATTTCATAGCTACACAAAAAAAAAAAACAATTATTAAAAATATGAGCATTTTATGTGAATGACATTTAATTAACGCATAATGAGACACAAAATATCATTTCCTTTCATCAATTTTATACTTGACAAATTATAAACAGAATTTCATTTGAATTATTAATTTCGAGTAAAAGATTGTTAAATTGAATTTATTTTAAAGATCAATGATCGCGTATATCAGATTTACAAATATTGTTATTGAAAAATTCAGAAAGTTAAATGATACGATTGAGCATAATAAGAAATAATTTCCTAAAATTATAGAAGAATTTTGGAACAATTAAAATTTTAACGATAAAGCGAAAAATTTAATTACTTCCTCATAAATCTAAGTTTGCATTCTCATTGTTAAGGAAATTGTTTGTGTGTGGCATCAATTATATCACGACTAGATTTACTGAGTGAAAAAATAGAAAATTTATGTCAGCTATACCCCCTACAACAATGCTGATACAATCCTAAAATATATGCTGCAAACGTATACTATGATATTAAAAAATTTCAAATAAGGTTGAATTCGCGTTCGCACTTCCGATTGCAAGAGATTTTATTAGTTACAAGTTACAACTGCACTTCAATAGAACTACTAAAGCAGCGTTATCAAAAAAAAACTCTGCAGGCGTCAAAAAGTTTGATTTGGATTCTCTACTAATTGAGTTCTATACTAATTGAGGTTAAGGTTGCAAAAGAAGGAAAAAAATTTATGCTAACGATTTGATAGAAGATCTTTTGCAGTTCTACTAACAAATACTGAATGCTTTTTGCAGTAAACTCCAAAGAACAAGGTTGTTCGGGACACAATGATGCAGCAGGGTTTAGGCAAATATAAAACACCTATATCGGGGGCCCTCTTTCGTTTTTTATTCATAAATTTTCAGGTCAGAATATCACTTCGCGCACTATCAACTAATAATTGTGAGCAAATGACGATTAAAAGAAAATGTAATGTAAATTTTTTTTTTAAATTTTGACTTTGCACTTAACTATCTTTGAAACAAAAATCCTTGAACACCTCACGGAAGGGAATTTCATGAGCTTTAAAATAAGTATGGTAAGATTTCTTTGTCTATAATATTTCTAAAGTTATCAGTAAAAATATAAAAACTGAATGATTTTTAAAAATTCCAACATTGAGCCCTAATAATTCGAAAAAGAGGGCTCAAAAAGGCAAAATATCACAGGTGATATTTGTACTCCTGAATGCATTTTACCATCCTGAAGTACTATTGAGTCTAGAACCCGTATAAATCAGATATAAAATTGATAACTAAAAGTGAAAAATTTCAATTGAATTTTATAAATCAATAACAACAAATTTGTTTTTCCGTGTATGCCAACATTATGTACACATTTAATAAATTAAACTCCCTTTGATTTATGATTTTATATTCGTTTTCCCTTCTACATACATATATTAAATTTCAAAATTAGAATTGTTATAGAAAAATAAAAGGTGCCTTTATAAAAATTTTTCTATTTAATTTCTACGTACTAAATCCGAATGCACGCATGTTGTCAATAATATTCTTGAATATCAACAATATTAAATTTAAATATAATTTTCTCTGATGAAAATTTAAAATATGTAAAATTTTCGTAAAATTTTCAATAAGATGCACAAAAATTATTGACACATATACTCTTTCTATTACAAGCATTACATGATACTCGTGTACAAAATATTTTACTAAGCTGCAAATGAATTTTCGGACTAAACTACAAAAGAGATATAGAAACTTTATAATGCATATTTTTTTTGGAAATTTCATTAGAGTATTATAGTTGCACTTTCAGTGCGAAAAACCATTGCATTTTTTGAAAAATTACCAAAAATCTAAAATATAAAGTTTTAAATCTTTTAAAAGAGTTCCATATAATGGATTTTGTAAAATTTTGTTATGAACATTTGATAGAAAGACTGTATCATGAGTTCAGCTTATCATAATCTTAACTGGTAAAGTGTTGGACATTGAATTAATTAATAGTGAACTAAGTAAACAAAATACTGCAGTAATGATGTTCACAAATGGAACAATACGATCCCGTTCCTTCCAAGACAAATGCGAAATTCAAGAAAGAATAACATCAAAGAGCATTGAAATATTCTAATATAAGAGAACGAAATATTCTTTGAACAATATATGGGACCTTGAAAATTTCTCCTAAAAATCACATATTTTTGTTTTCCTTCTTTTAAATTTTCAATGCCATCTACATATTTTAAATTGAAATTTCTTATAAAATTTAATATTTATTACATTGAATTTAAATAAGCGTAATATCCCAA